GCAATTCCCACAAAAAAAAGACTCGAAAACCACTTTATTTAAGTGAAAACCACGGCTAGCCAAGTTTATGCCGTTTCGCGTGGTTTTTATCAAACGACAAAAAACGAAAAGTGGTTTTTGAAGTGTTTTTGATGGAAAACTATTTAAATGTTCCCACAAGTAAAAACCAATCATAAAAAGTTGAAAACCACTTGGTTAGTTCGGATGCCAAAAACCAACGCCGAAAACCGAATGCCGAACGCCGGTTTCTGAAACCCGAACGCCGGTTTCTGAAACCCGAACGCCGGATGGCTTGATTTTTGGTTTGGGCGAACACCAAGTGTTTTTAATGTTTTAAACATGTTTGAAAAGCATTTTTATGATGTGTGAAATGCAATGAAAAGAATTTTAGCCTGAAGAGCCAAGGTGTAAAGGTTGGGTCGGTCTTGATCACAATTATGACCGACTCAACAATGCTAAGACTAAGGTCTTTGTTCTTGGTCTTCGTTTGGCTCTTGTTCTCTTTCTTATCATCTTTGGTTCTCGCCTTGTATATTCAATGACTTGTCTCGTTCACGGTGGTTTGGCATTATCAAAACCTGTCATAACAACGAACGCGGCTTTAGTACGAAAACGTGATAAACCCGTGTTTCAACAATTTCCCCCTTTTTGATAATGGCAAACAAGACAGGGTTATGCATAGGAGGATTGATTTGAGACTTAAAAAATGTTCCCCGTTAATAAATGCAATTTAGAAATAGTTCCCCCTCAATCTATGCATAACCTTTATATCTTCCCCCTTTTGACATTAGCAAAAAGCACTTCAAAAAAAATTGTAAAAAAAAAGAACTCCTTGAACATTGATGTTTGATACTGAACATCGATGTTTGAAAATGTCCTGGAGCATCAATTGTCAACAATATCGTAAAACGAGCTTCCCCCTTGATGCGGTTCATTGGGTTCGGTGCTTGGAGCATCCACTACAGGTTTGTAGTCTTCAAGCACACCCTTTTGTGTATCTAGTAATACCATTGAGGTACCCAATAGCTTTTGGGTCCTTGGGGGTTAGGCAAATAAAAATCATAATCATAATTATAAGAAGTGTCCCTATGTTTAGCAAAACACACGGGAGCTATGTGTCCTATCTTAGAACAATAATGACATACTACGTTTGGATTATGCATATGCCTAGGTTGAGCCAAAAACTTTCTAGGTGATCTAAAATCATTATTCATAGAATTATTAACTAAATTCCTAGACTCATTTCTAGGTTGTCTCAAAATATTTCTACCATTTGTAAAAATCCTAGAGTCAATTCTAGGTTGTCTCACCTTGTTACTTTTATTCTTTCTAAAATTAATTTTGTTATACCTAGGATTATTAGTTCTTCTAGGTGGTTTATCATTCTTAACTTCTGCCTTAATTTTTTTAATGGTGCTCTTAAGTTCTACATTCTCTACTTTTAAAGACTCACAAGAGGAACAAGCAGAACTTTGGTCAAAGAAAGAATCTTCATTCATTGCCTTAATTTTATTTTTGAGGTCAAAATTATCATTTTCCAAAAATTTATTTTCCTCTTCCAAAGCATGAATTTTTGCTTTAGCCTCTTTGGCAATTTTTGAAGATTTCTTTAATTCACCAAATAGTTCTTGAAAGGCTTCTTGTAATTCTTCAAATGAGAAGGATTTAGAAGAACTTACCTGTCCATTTCGTTCATGAGCCATAAGACATAAGGTGGCAGTTTCGTCACCAGAACTTTCCGAATCCCATGCCATGTATGCTCGTTCCTTCTTTTTCTTTTCCTTGCGGTTTGGGCAATATGGCTTTATGTGGCCAAGTTCTCCACAACCAAAGCACGTTGGAACAGGTTCCCCCTTTATTTTACAATCTCGGGACCTAAGTTCTTCCTTCAAAAACTCTTGGAACTTCTCGAGCAAGTTATAAGAAGGATTATGGTCATCGCTATCGGAGTCACTTACCTCTACCCTTTTTGAGGATGAGGCTTTGAGAGCGAGACCGGGACTCATGTCAAGAGAAGGTTTAAGAATAGTGGATTCATAAGTTTTAAGATTACCTCGAAGACCATCGATGGTGACATTGGTGTTACCAATCGACTCATATATGGCGTCGGCTTTTGAACGCCATTCCGGTGTTAGGCTCCGAAGAATTTTTCGAACAAGATCTTTGTTCGAGTATGTTTTACCAAGGACATGGAGATCGTTGATGATCTTTAAAAATCGGTCGAACATTTGATCAACGCTTTCAATTTCCTTCATTTTAAACAACTCATATTCATCATGGGTTAGAAAATCAATTTTAGCTTCACGGACTTGAGGCGTACCTTCGTATGTCACTTCAAGCTTATCCCACATTTCTTTTGCGGTGGAGCAAGAAGAAATTTTTCGGTAGTCATCTGGATTAATTGCACAAAAAATCATGTGTTTAGCTTTTTCAAAAGCTTCTACCTTCTTGATGTCTTCAGCATCATATTCTTCCTCCTTCTTTGGGATGGTGGTTTCACCAACCTTTTTCATTGGCATCGTCTCACCGTTTTTGATGATTAACCATAGTTGGAAGTTGATTGACCGAATGTAAATCCTCATTCGTTCCTTCCAATAGGTGTAGTTTGTTCCATCGAAGAGTGGAGGTCTAACGGTGGAGTGTCCTTCACTTAATCCTGCATACGACATTCTCAACAAAAAAATATAGATCGTTCTCTCAACCGGTTAAGGCTTATAGAGAGTTAGGCTCTGATACCAATTGTTAGAATAAGTGCCCTTCACTAGAGGGGGGGTGAATAGTGAGGCACGAGAATGTTTATAAATTTTCGCGGAATAAAAATCGCAGGGATAAAGTAAAGAGCGGAATAAAAAGGAGTAAAGGGAGCACA